TCGACAGACTTTCCGCCATCCCGAAACAATAAAAGTTAAATAAGAAGAAAATTAAGTCGATAATGCGAAGGAAACGAATGAATTGAATTAGTCACCTTAAAAGAATAGCCAGGGACCACAATGCTAATCGAACCACTGCTCGAAAATGGCGGACGCGGGGCCGCGCGAAAAACCCGCGGTCGATAATTGCCTTGGGTGAGCCACTGCCTGACATAGGCTAAATCATAGGGTAACCAGAGGATCGGGGGTCGGTAACTCGATTCAGATCGATAAGGTATCGGAAATTGACGACCGTCGATAATCACGGTCGTGACCCAAAAATTTCAAACTCACGGATCACTCACTGACACGGAAACGTTGACCTGTAAGTAAGACATAAATTTCGAGCCGTTGGAAACCCGTCACCGGCTCCAACCGAACAATATACAACAAGAAATTCCAGAAACGCAAAAACAAGGTGACCTGGTGTGACGCGCGAACACGAAGAGCGGCTAACCGTGTGCGAATTCCGCACCGAAATTACACATATTATATAACGGCATTAAAATCTTATGTCTAAAAGGTAAAGTCAATTTATTCGAAAATCAAAGGAGAATATTCAGCAAAAGACTATAATAGAACAAGAATTTAAGACGAAAGTGCGGGACCAATCCAACAAATCCCTAACCAATATTCCGTTTATCCAGAAGGGGGGAGTGATGCTCTCAACTTTCCAAATTGTTGATCGGTCGGTAGATTGGAAAAATATAGTCGCTAAGAGTAGGCAAAAATGAAAGTTACCCCGAAAAAGGGCTGACCAGGATACCTAAATTTGAGTAGAAAAGACTAAAAATTAGCTTTAATTTTACGACAAAATCGTTACTGTTACTAACGGGAACTAGTTAAAATCCCCTACTCTCTCATAATCGCAATTCTATTTAACAAAACCAAAAAAAAAAATAATTGGGTGACTCTGACGTCTTGTTGAACTCTCTTTTCACTTTCGTTACAAGTCCAATGCATAAAAATTTTCTTTAAATCGGATTTCACAAAACACCATAGCGGAAGTCAGAGCACGACTCGATACCGTCAATAATAAAAGGATTCGAGACCTGAGAAAATAATTCTTTTAACCACGGGATACTCTAACGCCTGGACGGAATACAACCTTAAAATCAACCATAAAATGCTACGCCGCAACCGGGACTAAAAGCAGATCTCGAGAAATCACACACAACGAAAAAAAAGACAATCTTAATCGCGACCCATGCTCCGAGCTCCGCTTCTCAAGTTTAAAAAAACGGTAATATATATATTTTTTTTCTCGAGCCCCACGTTGGGCGCCAAAATTTGCAACGCGCTCGAGGAGATTCCGGCGCGCTGGCAAACTGGGGGGACAGATCGGGGCCGATCACAACGCTAGCCCTCCGCGGGGTCGGCCGGCGGAGGTTCGCCCAAATAACGCGGGTCACTTTTTATAGGGCGCCAGGCGCGTGAAACGCGCCGCGGTCCGCGGTTTCCTGGCCGGGCAAGGCCCACGCCGCGGAGCTAAACTCGGCCCCCCGATCGCCGGCTACCCAGCCCCGCGGAGGTCCTGGGGACCTTCCGCGGCACGGTAGAGATGGGGGGTTCGAAATTCGCGGGATGGTCCGAAAGTCAGGGGGAGCCGTGAAATAAAACAAAAACCTCCGATCTTGGAAAATATGCGACTCGGTAGCTCTTTATTACCCGTCGGTGACGGGAGGACCTTCGCAGTAATTTAGACAGGGACTTCGGGATCCCGCCGGCAGAAACGGTACGACGGGGGCCACACGGCCCCACGGGACGGGAGGCACGGCCTACCCTCCAGAGCACAACGCTCTCTACAACTCCGCTCGCCTCTCGGCCCGTCACGACTCGACTCCGGAGGCAACGGGTATTCTTTTCACTCGGATTAATTCGGGAGCCGCGGGATCACTTGACGAACGACAACATAAACCGCCACGAGAGCGAACCGGTCGAACACGCGGAAATTAACTACAGCACGTCCGGCGCACGCGGTCCGACGCCATTACCAACTGGCCGGGAGGTACGCGCCGAGGAGGATCACATAAATATTACAATACGGATGAACGGAAACGGATTCTACGATAATCCCTTGTGGGTTTGCTGACGCTTAACGGTAGCGGCGGTACGGAGACGGGACGGTTCCTTCTCGGTGGCGACGGTAGGCGATGCGGTAGTCGGGAGTCACACGTCCATCGGCGCTCGGAGTATCCAGGACAATGCCGGTCCGAGCGCCGGCAGGACCACCGGAAATTAGGAAACCTCTCGCTAGACTCTTCCCGCATACGCGAGACCGTTTGGCGCTAGGTGATTAACTAGGCCTACGTAAGATGTCAGGACCGTCCCGGCCCCTGAAGACCGTCAATTTCGCGATAGATAACGTCCTCCTTGAAGATTCTCCCCGACACGGTACCTTCTTACAAATTACATAATAAATACGCTACTTACAATTAGGGACTGTTCCTGGATACCCCGAGCGTCACTATCCCATACTGAAAATAATTTATTAAGGATCTCGGTACTTACCGCTCCCGCTCCGCACCGACTTGGGACGGCCACGTCACAATACTTACTAATATCGTAATATATTGCGACGTGCTTTTCGTCCCAAATCAAAAGGCGCTCAATGTTCGATTTAACATAAAAACCCTTTAATCACTGACTAAGCGAACTACTTCTTATTACATTTGTTGGGCGCCAGCCGCACGTCGGCGGCCCTAAATTCTAAATTTTACTTCGCAGAAGTTGCGTGAGCTTCGCGGGTTCCCGGCCGAAACGCGGCTACTTATTATACGTCGCGGCCGTCACTCGCGAACACCCTCGCGTGCCTCGCTACGCGCGTTTTCCCCTATAATTTCCGATTGCGAATCTTCCGCAAGGAATGTCGCGTATCGTCCTCGAATAATCTCCCGAACTTTCCCCACCGATTTCGCGGACTTTCCCCTATTAATTTCGCGGATGTACCCCTACGACTTACTTGGGGGACAAGGGATGTTCGGTGATCTTTTTGGCCCAGTGTAGATCAATCCTTTGCCTTTTCGTAGGTCTTCTCTTTCTCTAACTTTGATACTGCTCCTAGTTCTCTTCCTGCCTCGGCGGTGACAATTTTTCGACTAACTTCCGGTCCCGGCACATACGCGTTGCCGGGTCCTTTTTCGGCAGTGTCCAGGGGCGCGGATTGGCCGAGCGGCCTCGCGAGCGGAGCGTTGATTGGCCCCGGCCCGGCGGCGCCGCGTCGGCCGACCAATCCTCCCGCTCCCCCCGGAGCGGCGCGACGACGGCGGCTCGGGCCTCGCCGCGCACTACAGGACCGCATGAGCGGCCCAATCTCCTCAACTATTTCAGGGCCGCATGGGCGAACCCTAAGGCGTACAGCCCTTTAAGGCCGTAGCTACCTACTCCCGAACATCCTCTATCGCCCAGAGTCGTTCCTTATCCGGTACTAAACCCTTATTTTTCCTATTCTCCCGTTTCTTTCCCATAAGTTTCCCNTGGGGGTAAAATATACTATGACATTTGGGAAAAATAACTGATTAGAGTTTTAATAGTATGAAAGTACTATTGTATTTGGCAAAGATAATTGATTTCCATTGTCGATCTATTTTTGTAATTGTATAATGACAAGAAACAATTATATTCTTGAGAAGAAAAATTCCTGTTCCTTTAAACAAATTTTCTTCGATATATCTAACATTTCTTTGCACGCATGTCATCGCAGGATTTTGTTGTTGCAATGCATATTTCTTTGCGACAGTTAACTATCTTTCTCAGAGTATTAATTTTATTTATTAATCGTTTATTTATATGGGTGGTAGCTCACTGTTGAATCTAGATTCATCGTAAATGTTCTCAACTATAAAACCTTCCTCACGAGGCAAAGAATCTTGGAACTGGGAAAACCATATAATCAATATTCAAAAGAAAATATGTAAGTGTAATGGACGTAATTTCGTAAATCTGTACAACACCGAGAAAGGTGTTTATATATGATATATATTATTTTTATATACTATTACTTTATATATATTATTTTATTATGCTTATAGATAATTGCACAAGTTCTTTTATTTGATATTTAACCTTCAACCGGACTTTCTGAACGCTTTCCTCATTTTTTAAATATTTATTGACTGCATCCTAAATTAAATGTTCATATTTTTAGGTATCTGGGAGATGCCCTTGCTGTCAACGCGTTTAACCAACGCAAATTAAATTTAATATGTAAGTGTATATGTACTATATTGAGATAAAAAATTCGTTGAACCAAAGAGATATTTTGTTAATTGAAAGAATAATTGTTTCGACTCAAATAAACTCGAATTATCATAATTGGAGTTTATTTAAGTCAAATGATTATTCCTTGCATTCATTGAACATTTCTCTTGTTCAATGGCATTTTTTTTTTTTTTTAAGGGAAACACATTTTCTCATTTATTAGTACTAACTTAATATGTGGTATTTATTCTTTAGCTATATTAGCAGGAATAATTGACTGGCCGTATTATCTCCCCGAAATGCCTGAGTATGTAACTATAATTAACAACTATAAAAACCACTACATCGACAGTAATTTATTTTACGCTTTTTAGTTCCATGCAATACGGTGCTCTCGGTGCAACAATTGGACATGAACTATCCCATGCTTTCGATACTGATGGTACAAATTTCAAGTTCATAGAACAATGTATAAATTAAGGGGTTATGCTACTTTGAAATTTTAAAAAAATCAGACAAATTTTTACGTGTTTATACTTTAAACGCGTTTTTCTTAAAACTGCATTTTAATAATCGGTGGCCACTCTAGCTCCGCCAATTCTCAATCAATCGTCTTGATTCTTTATTTAGTTTATTCGTGATATGTTTATCTAGCGAAATACGTATGGTTTTTTCAATGTATTGATATTTGCATTTTTTATGCAACATTAATTAACGAAATTTAGGGCAAAATACGTATCTTTCCTTTCAAATCGATGTCATTTTGTGAAAAATGCAGTTTTTTGAAAACGGCTACGTATTTTGCTAGCTTTTGGGCTACGGAAACTAATTATTTTTTGTTTATTGTTCTAATTTAAACTTAGACTGAGTTATCGTGCCCAGCGCACGATCGTCGATTTTCGCAGCGCTCCGGTAAATCGCTTTTCAAGTCGCCAATTTTGCAAATAAAAAAAATAGAAAAAAAACACTTTGTTGTTTAATAGTAGTATAATATCTTACTGTACTTTAATTTGGATAGAAACGTTTTAATTCTTAAAGAAAAATTCTTAAAAAACCGTAATTTTTGGGTGGGTCAAAGTGGCGTAACCCCTTAATGCGATATAGCTTTGCCTTGGCAAAGCGAATTTTTCTATTTTTAACAACTATAAATTATCTTTCATTCTTGGGCCCTCTTCAAAGATTCGCCTTAACGTGTGATATGTTCCTTATAAATAATTATATTAATTGGGTTAAAGAATAATACAAGAGAATTTTTCAAGAGGGTCCACACTATCAAGGAAGGTATCTCAGGTCGATCTCTCCGATTTGATTTCTTTTATAATATGTTATAGTAGACTAAAAACTAAGCGACACGTATTTTTTCTTATCTGCCATTAAACACTTTAAGGGGGTGAAACCACCATCCAAAGTAAGACATGTGAGGGGTGGCTCACCCCTTAATTTTTTTTTTTTCTTTAAATGAGAAAATTATATTTTTCATTTCTGGTTATGAGAAAGCTTTTCCAGGTGGATTGCTTAAAAGATATTATATTCTTGTGGGTAAAACTGCCAAATCGTCCCTTGACATGCCTTACTTTGGATGGTGGTTTCACCCCCTTAAAGTTCTTAATGGCAGATTATAAAAAAAAAAAACGTGTCTCTTTGTTTTTAGTCTACTATAACATATTAAAGAAATGAAAACGGAGAGATCGATCTGGGATACTTTGGTTGTAAGAACCTAATTACGTTAAGAATTTAATGACTTCGTAGTAGTTTAAATATATTTTGATTGCAGTTTAGAATAAGTCGGGTCGAATTTGAGAGGGGTGGTAAATAAATCGATTTTAATATTAATTTTAGGTGTTCATATGGATTATTTAGGCGAAAGGGCGCAAATATGGTCCCCAGAAGCTTATCGGACATTTGAGTCTAAGGCTCATTGTTTCATTGATCAGTTTAATGCATATCAATACACAGAATTGGAGGTTCTTGGTCGAGTAGAATTCGTGCGTACATAATCCTTTCCTTTTATTCTCATGTTCGTTCGAGTTATTATTGAAAAATTTCTTTTGACCCTAAGGAAATTCATGCAACTTTTTAGGCCAACGGGGCCACAACGTGTGATGAAAATATGGCAGATAGTGCAGGAGTTATAGCGAGCTTTGAAGCTTTCAAAAGAAGCTCGAGGAAACGCGAGAAAGGCTTTAAAACTCTCCACGGACTGCAGAACTTCACCAGCGAGCAATTGTTCTTCCTGGCATTCGCAAATGTTAGTCATTTTCAATTTGTTCATGATGAAAAGTGAAACGCTATGGAAAATTAAGGTGAAGTGGAACCCCCCTCAAGTTAGTCGATTCGAATAAAAGACTTATCTTTTAAGAGTATTAAACAGAACCATCTGAAACTTTGACACGTGACTCGTGAGCACCGAGGAATTATCCTGACACTTTCAAAATTTGGATTCTTGAAAGAATCTCAAATTTTTTACATTTGCACTTTTGAAAAATCTCGAATTTTTTACATTTGGAATTTTTAATGTCAAATTTTTTTAATTTAGATTTCTAGAAAAATCTCGAATTTTTAAAATTTGGATTTTTAAACAAATCTCAAATAATTAAAATTTGGATTTTTGAGATCTCAAATAATTATAATTTGGATTTTCGAGATCTCAAATAATTAAAATTTGGATTTTTGAAAAGATCTGAAATTTTTTAAATATGGATTTTTGAAAAGATCTCAAATTTTGAGAAGTAAAACCCCCTCAAATCAGTCGATTCGAATAAGATACTTTTTTTCAAGAGTATTGAACCGAACCGTCTGAAACTTTGACACCTGACTCGTGAGCATCAAGGAATTATCCTGACACTTTCAAAAATTGAACTTTTCCAAATTTGATAGGGGATTTCACTTTTCAAAATTTGGATTGTGGAAAAGCATCTCAACGTCTGACGTCAATCAAGTTCCTTGACGTGTTTCACTTCACCTTAAGAGGTTATCAAATTGTCTTGAGATATTCATATGTAATACTGTATTAGTCCCTTCTTTATTGAATATTTTTACTTGTATTTCTTATATCTCGTTTTAACAGGTGAGATGCGCATTTACGTCGCCATATTATCTGTCCTATCTCATACAATTTCGTCAGTCTCACAGTTTTCCGCGATTGAGAGTTATTGGATCTTTGTCGAATATGAAAGAATTCAGCGAAGCGTTTAAATGCCCGAAAGGAAGTCCCATGAATCCAGATACGAAATGTGTTTTATGGAATTAGGTAAATCATGTGTTATAAATGGTTTAATAAGATACAAGAGCTGTTCTTTCATCCCACGTATTATGAATCATTTATTCATGTTGCGTATCATTAACAATTTCGAATGTCTCATAATTGATTTCATAAAGTTTCGTACTTCATTTATCTAAAATCAATTTTCCTGTAAGTAAGAAAATGTTGCTACAATGTACGTAAACATTTTTTATCCTCCTTCGATTCCGAGAACAAGCACACCGTGCTTGACATCATTTAACGTTATCGCGAAAATGTTTTATTGGTCACGTCCAAGCATTAAGAACGAAGATAAAGATAGCAATATGCAATTTTCTCATAAAGTGCGAAGAATTCCTGGAAGAAAAATCAGAAATTGGCTTCTTTATGCCGTCTGAAAGATTTGAGATAAGAGACCTTTTTCATGAGCCTCGAATTGTAAGTACTTCTGCATCTTCTCTCTCTGTTTCGAATAATTGAAAGATTGTATTTTCCAGTATAGTGTTCACTTAATTCATTATTACATTAACTTTGAAGCCAAAACCAGGATGCACAGTTTCTCAAATAAATCCTCGGAAAATTCCTTCGGCGATAAATTTTGGTAAGTGCCCAGGCACCACGGAACGTGATATATCCGGAAATTAATCGTATATAAATGTTTATTGAACATATGTAAAATGTATATGGATATCTATGAACTCGATTTTAGATCCACTCATAGGCTAGATGTCCGAACATGATGCTTAATATGTATGTATATAAAATGGAATAAAATTGAGGGATAATGTGAAGAAAATTCAAACTCTGAAAATAAAGACCACCCTAAGGCGACAGCGAACAGTTTTTTTAGGAAGAATTGGCCTGCTGAGAACGGGCGTCAATGGCCGCGTGAATCCGCCGCACATCGTGACATACTTTTTCGTATTTTACTCGGAAATAGTCAGTCATACGAGAAAATATCGTAGATAATAAAACATGCATTTCTATCAAGTCTACATCTTTTGTATGAACCTTGTTTGCATATAACTAATATTTTCCAAGATAAACCAATGAAATTGATTTTTCATTTAACTTCATGGCTTTTCCATGTTCAAGGACACAGAGGCAGCCTGTGCCTTTATCCGATTGAGTTCAAACTTTGCAGGAATTATTTTTACATAAAACGGAACCAAACAAGAGGATAATGTGAAGAAAATTCAAACTTTGAAAATAAGAACCACCCTAAGGCGACAGAGAACAGTTTTATAGGAAGAACTGGCCTGCTGATAAGGAGCGTCAAAGGCCGCGCGAATCCGCCGCAAAGTCGCACCTACATGCCCCGTCAACATAATGCACGTAAGTGCATTTTCAGTCCTCTCACACGAAAGGACGAAAGCGACAAGTACTAGTGCTTGTACGTCACTCGGCGTACGTCCTGACGCGTAATTAGTATCGGGTTCTTCGTTCCCAGGTTCCACAAGTGCACGCATTTTCGCAAGTACTTTGGTTCGCATGCACGATGTCGACGATTCTTGGTCTCTTTGCCTTTGAAAGTAGAAAGTGATGGATGAAGGGTCTTTCATGGGCTAAGGGAGAAAGACAGAGTGAAAAATGGCGACCCACAGTCGCATTCTGCACCTACTAATGTGTAGAGGGAGAATGGTACTTGGTCTAGCAGTCTAGACATTGTCATTGAATCCCAAATTAGTAATTACCAGTCTGAATGGAGGTTTTGCAACCGTTGTTCATCTCGAAAAACCCAGCCCAGAAACGGCGGGTTAAGGTGATGTGAAACGCATCGAGGAACTTGATCGATGTCGGTAAAGAAGATCTTTCTAAATACCTACGTTACTGACGTTCGTTTCTTTGTTTTATCTTTTTATCATTGTTACTCTTAACAAGTTAAGATCGGTTCTAAATGATGTCGTCGTCGGAATAGTAAATGAAGACATTATGGACAAATTATTCTACTTCTTTAGTCTCAAATGTTGCGTGTACTATCAGACACTTGCATGCACGGAGCACCGTTGTTTTTATCGATCTGGTCTTGTAATCTTGTCACGTTTACATCTTAGTGCCGGCGAAAGACACACCATTTAATTTCGGAGGAGCAATTGTTGTATCAACGAACGAACAACATTTAGATGGGCATGCGACAACGAAATTACTTGGGAATAACAACGACTTGCATAGTGGAGCGTCGTGGATGTGAATTTTTACATTTGGTAGGTTTGTCACGTTTCCGTGTTAGTACCGTGTTAGTACGACGATCTTTTAATTTTGAAGCAATGTGCAGGGTATTATTCGAAGTCTGTGAGAGATTACGTATTCGCAATAAGCATTGGAATGTCATGGAGCAGTAATTGAGGTCTTGGAACAGTACCTCATACCCTTACTTACAAATTCAAATTTTCCCATTGATAACATTAAAATGACCATCTCGGAAATGATACGTACGTTCAATCTTTTTTGATCGGCCTTAATATCTCTGGTCTGGTTCATTCTGCCCAGCCCAATCTTATCTGGCGACAAAATGTAGTTACGTCTATACGAAGTAACACGTTTTTGTTCCAGGGTGAGTTAGTCTATCTTGGACTGGTCTAGTCTGAGCTGATCTGATCAGCTGTGGTGTATCCATACCCTTACATACAAATTTACGTTTTCCCATTGATATTAAAATGACCATCTCCAAACTTATACGTACTTTCTATCTTTATTGATCATCCTTAATTTGCCTAGTGTGGTCCGCTCTGTTCAGCCGAACTTTATCCAGCGACAAAATATATTTACGTCTATGACAAGTTTTTGCTCCAGTTTGACTGGTCTAGTCTGAGCTGATCCGATCAGCTGTGGTGTATCCATACCCTTACATACAAATTTACGTTTTCCCATTGATATTAAAATGACCATCTCCAAACTTATACGTACTTTCAATC